TGGTGGCTGACTAAATACTTTTTTGCCCCACTGTATATAAAATTGCTAAGTAAGTAAACATGGTTCAGCAAGCAGTGTTGTTTTTACTTGTATTACTTATGTACAATAAAAATCAAGCACTTTTATGCTTTTACTTAAGGAAAAGTTCAAGTACTTGATTTGTGTACTTCATCCACCACTGCCAAACATATTATCATTATTTGATTATTTCTTTTTTGTTCCTCCACCTTCATGTTCTGATGTGCTCAGGATGTGTTAAACACGATGATTAGGTGGTGCTCACCACGCTTCTTCTTCCTGGGTCTGCCGGGCTTCACCATGCTGGTGGGAGACTTCATCACCGCGGCTGCTCGTGTCCTCAACACTGACTCCTTTGAGGTATTGCTGCTGCTGCTGTCAGTTTTGAAATAAATACATCTGCATCTACACTACATACAGAAGCACACAGCTTCATGTGGTGTTTTCTCCATTCATGCTCATGTCAGGCTCCGCGGATCGAGGCTCAGACAGTTCTTGGTTCGCTGGTGTGCTTCCCTAACCTGTATCAACAGATCCCCTCTTTGCAGTCTGTTCCCGGATCTGAGGATATCGTAGTTGGCAAAGAGGACATGAAGGTATGCCGTTACAAAAGTTAACCAAATCCCACGTTTTATTACACATATCTAATGACGCTTTTTAGTGGAGATTAGCTCTGCGTTCAGCTGTTAGAGTTAGAGTTTTCATTTGTTAATTGCATCACAGGTTGCGCATTTTGGTGTGGAACTGTCAAGAATGGCAAATCTACAGAAGGAGAAGGCCTAGTATCATCTAACAGATTTAATTTAATTCTGTCATTTCAAACCCTTATGACCTACTTTCTTCATGTCAAGATGTCTAGTTAATAATGACTGTCCTCAAACAAAGGTGTTGAAAGGCTTCAGAAGATGTGTCATATGGCCTGCTTTCCTGTCTCTGTCAAAGTTTTCATTGCACACTGGGTGACTAAGGATAGAAGTGTCATGGCTTGACTTTCAGTTGACTTCTCAGTGAAAATGCTTGCAGATGGATGATATGACCAAAATCTTAAACCATGATACAGTATGTCATTTAATGACGGCGGTGATACCCGACACCTCATGGTAATTCTTGCTGAATTAGGTTTATCACTGCGTCAAAATTATGTAAATTTAAACCAAAGCCATACATATTTCATAATTCTCACTATCTCTGACAAACATATTATAAACTGATAAAAATGGCTTTCATGAAATATTGAAACCAATTAAATTAATGTACCCAATAAATAGAAACTTTTAAGGAAAAAAAAATAAATAAATTACCTGGTTGCAAAACCTGGTGGGCACACCTTTTTTATATATAATTTTTACTCTGTTTGAAATTAACCACGTATATTCAGACTTTCACTCCTCCAGTCATCATTTAAGTGTTGCAGTTTCTGTAGCATCTTCGTAGTCGCATTGCTCAACTGGCGTTATATTGTTGCCAAAATCACTATGAATTTATTTACGGCTGTGTGAAAAGTGCTTTATCAATTTACTTGACTTTCAATAAATTGAAAAGAACAGCCCGGATATTCCTGAGAAGTGTTTTGTTCCACATAAGAATTAGGTCATTCACGTTTTTTGAAGGTGTAAAATTACAGGATTTGTTTTTAGGTGAACTATTGTTTAAAATATGTGGTGTACAGATATGTAAACCATGCTCACGTGACCACAAGACTGAACCTTGAACCGTTTATTATAGAGATGCACGATATTGGATTTTTGCCGATATCCGATATGCCGAT